GGGGGCGGGAGGTGCCGGGCGGGCGCGCGAGGGAGGTGGCGGGCGGGGAGCGAGCGAGCGAGGGCGGGCGAGGGCAGGCGAGCGAGGGCGGGTGAGCGAGCGAGGCCGGCGCCCTCCCCAGCGGCGCCCCGGGCCTGGGTCCACGCCGAGGGCAGGACAAACTTCACCAGGTAGGACGCCCTGCCGGCCGCTGTCCCCGGAGCCCAGCCCGGCCCGCGAGCAGACCTCCGGCCCGCAGGTTGAGTGTGCCGGTCAGCGTCTTTTTTCCAGCTCAGGAAAAAAAGCGGAGCCGGAGCCAGCCCGGCGTAGGGGGAGGTAGGGGGTTGGGAGAGGGTGGTGAGGAGGAGAGGAACCTAAGGAGAGGGACCCGAGAAGAAAGCGACAGCACTTGATCGAAGCCCCAAACTCCTCTCCGCGCTCTGGGTTGTCATTTTTGCTTCCCCCTTTCCCTTCCCCCGCGTCCCCAGGCTCTGAAAAGCCCGGCGGTGCCGGAGCCCGTCCGGAGTTGCAAAGTGTCCTCCTCCCCCGGGTGCAGCCTGTCCCCTCCCGCCACCCACCTTCCTCGTTAGTGCGCTCATTTTAGCGACGCTGCCGCCTCTGCTCGGTACCCCGCGCTCCCGCGTTTCCTCCGCGCTGGGGTCTCCTCCTTCTTTGGGTGGATGGGAGTTGGAGGGGAGAAGAATATGGTAGGGAGCTGGGACTGGAGACCAGCAAGGGGCTGAAAATCGAGCAGACATTCGGACTCGCTCCTTTGGAAACATTTTGCCTGTGCAGCCGAAATGAAATTGTCAGTAGTAGTTTGGGAGCGTGCTCCAGCAAGGATAATCTTTTTGTTCGTTTTTTTTTTTTCTCTCCGTTAAAGTAATATCCTGTCACTTGGGGTTTTCCTGTTGTTTACTCTCATCCGACCTCCTTTCAAAATTACTAAACTAATCTGGTTCTTGTTTTTAAATGTGCATGTGTGTATGTGTTTTACCTAAATCCGCCAAAAAGCAACTGTTAGAACTGCTAGGTATATTTATTGATTTTAACCCGGGGGCGGCGAGAGGGGACTAGCCGAGGGAGGGGGGGCGCTTTGAGCATGGGAAGTGGTTGAATCGTGGTGGCTGGACGCGAGTCCAGAGCCCGATCTGTACTTGTGTTTTCTTGGAAGCGCTACAACTGCAGGGAAGGAGTCTTTAGAAACCATGCCAGTTTCAATATGGCGGGGGGCGGGGGGGTTTTTAAAACTTTGGAAACATTTTGCCTGTGCAGCCGAAATGAAATTGTCAGTAGTAGTTTGGGAGCGTGCTCCAGCAAGGATAATCTTTTTGTTCGTTTTTTTTTTTTCTCTCCGTTAAAGTAATATCCTGTCACTTGGGGTTTTCCTGTTGTTTACTCTCATCCGACCTCCTTTCAAAATTACTAAACTAATCTGGTTCTTGTTTTTAAATGTGCATGTGTGTATGTGTTTTACCTAAATCCGCCAAAAAGCAACTGTTAGAACTGCTAGGTATATTTATTGATTTTAACCCGGGGGCGGCGAGAGGGGACTAGCCGAGGGAGGGGGGGCGCTTTGAGCATGGGAAGTGGTTGAATCGTGGTGGCTGGACGCGAGTCCAGAGCCCGATCTGTACTTGTGTTTTCTTGGAAGCGCTACAACTGCAGGGAAGGAGTCTTTAGAAACCATGCCAGTTTCAATATGGCGGGCTAAGGTGGCTTTTAAAAACTGAAAATAAAGGTTTTGAGGTGGGAAAAAAACCAATTGGAGTTGCCACCCCTTAATTTCGACTCTCTTTGGCTACCCTGGCAACCTCTTTAGCGAATTAACTGGGAAAAAGGACAGGGAATGAGCTGCCCCAGTTTTTTCCGTGGTTAGAGTATGTCAAGTCCACTGCTAGAGGGGAAAAGGGGCGGTAGGGTTCCGGTGGCTCAGACTAGGGCCACCAAGCGCAACTGCTGTGTGTGACTGTGGATCAGTGTGCATGCCCGTGTATACAGCTGCGGGGTGTGTGCATGTGAAAGATCCACTCTGAAGGTGTGTGCGTCTTGGAACCAGACCCTGCCATGATTTGACGTGACAAACTGCTGACACGTGGTGCAAAATACAGGAGGGCAGAGGGAATGATTTATTTCGGCTTTCTGGGAGACGAGCTCGCATTCTCCCTCGGTGTGCTGGATCCTTTGCCGGTAAAGCCCAAAGTAGTGGAGCAAGAAGGTGCTTATTCGAAGGACTAACTGTCCAGGGTATTAGGTACAATCGGGCTGCAGACGCCAGTGGGATTTCGTGTGTGCAGGGGGCGCGCTGCGCTTAGTGGTGGATTCCCGCTTCCCTTGGCGCCGCGTTGGGGAGGACGAAAATGGTTGGGCAGAAGGGCGGGGGCTCCTGGACCTCCTACGCGAACCGTGTACGGTCGAGGGGGAGTTTGCTTCACTACTTTTGGGTTTCGCGCTCTAGGGAAAGGAGGTGGGGTGGGGTGGGAAAAGCGTCCTGGTAGGAAATTGTCCCTTGCTCAGGTTGGGCTCCAAGAGGACTGGATTAGAAAGGGACTTCCTTGGGCCATGGCGGACGCGTGAGCGGGGCTGTCACCTTCGAGTGTGAGCGGGCAACGAGGTGGCCGGGAAAGGTGAGTATCCGGGGCACGAGCGAAAGTGGAAACGGGAGTTTAGAGACACAATTGGAGCTAGTTAGGGGAGCCCAAGAGAAAGAGAACAAACCCAAGATCAGAGAAAAGCGTTCCGAAATGCGGGAACGTATCTAGGAACCGGGGTCCCCGACAGGGGTCGCTCGTGGACAGGACGCAGCAGCCAAGCCGAGGTCGCGCGGCGGTGCCGACGAGAAAGACCCTGGGAAACCGGAGCCACGAGGCGGCCTTGCCCCTTCCCCGGGCTCCAGCGAGAGCAGGTCCGGGGACTTTTTCGGAGGTCCGCGAACCTGACAGCCTAGTAGTTAAATGCTGGGAGACATTTTTTAAAGTAATAGAGTTAAAAAGAGTGTTGTCCACGTCTGTAGTTAACGAAGCAGTAGTCTTCCTGCGTTTGCAGGGGCCCAGAGGTCACTTAGACTGACGTGGGTGGGGTCCGGGAGCAAGTGACACCAGCACTGAAGACCTCGCGACAGGTTTTCTCCTTACACCTGATGCTGAGCGATTGGTGACGCTCTGGCCAAGACGTGTCGCGCCCTCCCGGAGACGGGAGGAGGGCGGTGCGCGGCACGTCCCCAAGCCCTCCCAGCCTGCGCTTCGGAGCGTCCTCGCCGGGAGGGCTGTCGCGCGGGCTTCGCGGAGGTGGAGGCTAGCCTAAAATGGCTCTGTGCTGGTAAGCTGCAGTCGCAGCCGTGAACCACTCCCCTCGTCCTCCTGACGTCGCCATAGACAAGCGCACAATTCACTCCAAAGCCCTGAAACCCGCGATTTTGCACCAGGTGGTGTGGTGGAAGTGAGTATACGGTCGCTTAAAATGGACATTCCACAAGACTCGCAATGCCTAAGTTTTCCTTTCTTGTGGGAAGGAGCGGGAGGAGGGAGGGGACTGGGCAGGAGCCCGACCGACTACCGCCTGGTGAGAGAGAGAGAGAGAACGTTCCCGGGACGCGGATGGTGGCCATGCGGAGCTATGGCCACAACTCATCTTTGATGGGTTAGAGGTGTCTGGGAGCCCTGAGATGACTCCGGGAAGCCAGGGAGACGGTTTGCAAATTTCCGAAGACCTGCTCGCAGTTTCGCTTTCGGAATTTTCGGGATCTCGGAGTTTCTAGAGTTGGGTGGGATTTTGGAAGGGCAACGCAACGCTGTTCTCTTGTGCGGTGGTCTGACTTGTTGCCCACCCTAGCGTTACCCTGCTTGGCCGCACTAGAATTCAAGGCGCAGAGCCAGGTTTGCCTCCCCTCTCCCCCCCGGGTCAGCACGAAGTCCCTAAACTGCGTCCTCTGGGTTCCTTCCCTGCAGCAGCCGCTGATGGGCTGCTGGGAAACCGCTTTCCAGCAGGATCACCCTACTTAGATCCGGATCCATGCTCCTGCGGCCCATGCTCATCTCTCCTCCCTTGCACCATACACAAGAGACCTGGGAGACCTTGGTGTCTACACCAAGTGGATCCAGGTTCCACCAGGTTGGATGAAAAGCAAAACCAGGCTTAAACTCGGCTTCATTTCCTAGGCAGTTGGGGGTGGGTAGGAAGAGAGAGCTGGTAAAGGGGTGGGGGAGGGGAGAGTCCTTGGTGATCTAGACTTGTTGGCCACGCTCTCCTTCGGGATAAGAAATCTGCTACTTTTCCCCTACTAAGCACTAAATGTGCACACGATCTGCTACCTCCCTTCCACAAATGAATACTGTCTCAGATCTTTATCTGAGCGCTCTGCTGGGACCACGCTGCCCGCCTGCAAGTGGGTTGGAGACATCCGCACACACCCTGAACCCTTCCGGCCCCCACCAAAGTTCTCACTACACGCAGGACCTATGCCTGGGCCAATGTGAGACAATGCCCAGTGACAACCTGTCTGCGCAGCGCAGCCCCCATCCTGGAGAAAACAACTACCTTGTTTTGATACGTGTTGTTCTAGACGTGCCAGTGGAGACCTGCTGAAATGAGGACTGTTTTCCATTTCCCCTTGGGATACTGTACCTTGAATCTCAAACAGGCCACCGCGCTGGGAGATGCATTTCACTCATGATAGGAGTAATTCTTGGAGAGGGATTTTAATCTTCATGTGTTGTTGCAGAAACTGTGGACTAATTTTTTAGTCCATAATTTTTAAGTATGTATAACTAGTTTTGTAATTCTTGATTAAAAAAAAAAGAGGTAAAAATAGATTGCAGACTTCTTCCTGTTTTTATCATAAGGCTCTCCTGGGAGTGTTCAGCTTTGATCAAATCCCATTTCTGTCCACTCTAGCTTAGGTGACATTTTTTACTTTTCTCCACATACCATTGATCCTCAAAGACTGGCCAAATCATAAAAGAAATACTGTAATACAACATTGTTCTGATCATAAGTGAGTGAGATTCCATTTAATTGATACAGGATGCTTTTAGAGTCTAAGAAGTTCGTACAATGACGATTCAAACTCTGATGGGCCTGTACTAACTCTAAAAGTTTTTGTAGCATATTAGATCAGAAGAATTTTTAAAAAATAATTTGAACAAAAATGACCCACTGTGGAATTGGAATGCCTGCCAGTTCTCATACACTGGATTTGGACATTTCTCTCTTTATATTTACTGTTCAGGGTTTTTGTAGTTCATGCAACAGTGCAGTGGTCATAAAGAAGGGTTTTTGTACCAAGACAAAATTGGGATCTGTAATGCAAGACTTTGTGGTTTTTCTAAATGTTCTTATATCTATCAATACATTGTCTTGGCAGCAACTTAGTGTCCTCACTGTATAAATTAAAAATTTTGAGGGAACCAGCAGTTAGCGTAATCGCTATGTCGCTGGACTCCCACGTAGTCGACTGCGGTTCGCGTCCTGGACCCGGTGGCTTAAAACTCACGCCGGGCGCGTGTGCGTGCATGCTCAAGATCCTGAGAGGAGAATGGAGGAGAAGGGATTGTGGCATGACCACCCCCCCTGGGGGGTGATTTCTCGCTTTCTGTCTCTCTGTCTCTCTCTGTCTGGCGAGTGCACGCGCCCTATAGCAAAAAAACTCTCAAAAAAAAAAAAGAAAAGAAAAAAAAATTGAAAACGGTTAGGGATATTATACTTGTCACAGCAAACCAGAAAATCAACTGTGCTTCCACTTTGGTGATAGGTTCTATCAACCTTAGCTTGACAGGTAGATTCTTGACAGAGGGGATGAGAGTGGAATCAGAAGGCTTGGCCTCTAGTATCAGAAATGGCTCTGTGTAGCTTGTGACCTGGCATAAATATTTTCATCTTTCTGAGCCTCATCTTCCTTATCTGTAAATATATGGACTAGAATCTCACTTAAATAGCTCATTGCTTCTATGGGGGGGGGTCTGTGATTCAGTACATCTGTGCAGACAAGCTCAAGTGATTCATCTTTTCAGCTTTATGTCTCCAACGTGTAGTAAATACATTACTGGCCTTATGTGACAGGTGACAGTAAAGTAGATGATGTCTGTGGCACCAGTTGGAACATGATGGAAGCTCTACCTGGGGTTGTGTATTTGTCTGTGTTCTGCAAGAGGTAGATAAAGAGAAAACTGAGGCATACACATGCAGCTCTCACATATAAGCCCAGAAATGGCCTAAATGGGATGAGATCAGTGTGTTTTTAAAATCAACGTCACCAAGAAATACCTGACTTGATTTTGCAGTAATAATTCTTAGGACTAGAAAGGACCATTTAATTAACACACTGTACTCACCATCCTAATACGTTCATGATGTGGATGGATGGTTGCAGCTTTCTGGTAACCAGTTGAGTACAAGAGTCTCTGAAGCTCAAGGCCTTCCAGTCCCTGTTTTTAGCTTGGCCCCTGGCAGTACTCGCTGTTTTGTTAAGACTAAATATTTCCTAGGACAGTTCATAAGGAAAATGACCTTGTGGGTTAACATAGGCATTGGCTGTATTTAAGACAAGGAGATGTTTAATGGGCAGGACTGTGTTTAAATAAGGGAAGCTATTCTGCTTAGAACTTTCACTGCAAAAGGAATGTTACAGGATTCAGATAAGGATGCTAAGTAAAAGTCTTAGGGATTGGTTTTGCGTGATCAGAGAGGTGTTCTGATGAAAAGATGCCTCTCTGACACTTCTCATCTGGTTGGCCTATAGTGAATTTAAAAAGTAGTAATACTTGAAAAGAAAAAAAAATTGAAAACGGTTAGGGATATTATACTTGTCACAGCAAACCAGAAAATCAACTGTGCTTCCACTTTGGTGATAGGTTCTATCAACCTTAGCTTGACAGGTAGATTCTTGACAGAGGGGATGAGAGTGGAATCAGAAGGCTTGGCCTCTAGTATCAGAAATGGCTCTGTGTAGCTTGTGACCTGGCATAAATATTTTCATCTTTCTGAGCCTCATCTTCCTTATCTGTAAATATATGGACTAGAATCTCACTTAAATAGCTCATTGCTTCTATGGGGGGGGGTCTGTGATTCAGTACATCTGTGCAGACAAGCTCAAGTGATTCATCTTTTCAGCTTTATGTCTCCAACGTGTAGTAAATACATTACTGGCCTTATGTGACAGGTGACAGTAAAGTAGATGATGTCTGTGGCACCAGTTGGAACATGATGGAAGCTCTACCTGGGGTTGTGTATTTGTCTGTGTTCTGCAAGAGGTAGATAAAGAGAAAACTGAGGCATACACATGCAGCTCTCACATATAAGCCCAGAAATGGCCTAAATGGGATGAGATCAGTGTGTTTTTAAAATCAACGTCACCAAGAAATACCTGACTTGATTTTGCAGTAATAATTCTTAGGACTAGAAAGGACCATTTAATTAACACACTGTACTCACCATCCTAATACGTTCATGATGTGGATGGATGGTTGCAGCTTTCTGGTAACCAGTTGAGTACAAGAGTCTCTGAAGCTCAAGGCCTTCCAGTCCCTGTTTTTAGCTTGGCCCCTGGCAGTACTCGCTGTTTTGTTAAGACTAAATATTTCCTAGGACAGTTCATAAGGAAAATGACCTTGTGGGTTAACATAGGCATTGGCTGTATTTAAGACAAGGAGATGTTTAATGGGCAGGACTGTGTTTAAATAAGGGAAGCTATTCTGCTTAGAACTTTCACTGCAAAAGGAATGTTACAGGATTCAGATAAGGATGCTAAGTAAAAGTCTTAGGGATTGGTTTTGCGTGATCAGAGAGGTGTTCTGATGAAAAGATGCCTCTCTGACACTTCTCATCTGGTTGGCCTATAGTGAATTTAAAAAGTAGTAATACTTTACCATGGTTAGGGACCCTTGAGTTATTGATGGGATGACACCAATAGGCTTTCATTCATGTGATAAGATGTCTTTGATGCTGATTAACAAAAGAACCCATTGTGTTTTTCTGTTTGATTCTGTTCTGATTTTCTGAAAAACAGAAAGGACACATTTTGGTGGATACAAGGCTTCTTGTGAAAGCGTCTGGTAAATTTGCAAAATAGGGCAAATATTGTTAGTGGTTGTGACTAGACAAGAGGTGTGTGGAGCTGGTAGGACTTGGGGAGAGGGAGCAGGATTTTGTCCTGGGATTGTCCTCCTTGAATTATTATTGGCCAAGAAAAAGATAACTCATAAAAATACCTTAAAGTGTACTTTCCCTGCTTTCTGCTAAGTTTGGCAAGTTGTTGTTTTTCTTTTACTTGTTTTCAAACAAAACTAATACATGAACTGAATCATTGTAAGATATAACCACAGGAGTCCCAAGTTCAAGTTCCTACAAAGTTTTGTTTTTAATGGAATTTATAAGAACACTTTTGTAAAAACAGAATGTTTGGCTCTTTAGGTCTAGATGTTTACAATGAAAAGATTGTGGAT